CCTCTCCTCCCCTCTCTCTCCCTCTCCTCTCCTATCTCCTCCCCTGCCTTCCCTCCTCTATCTCTTTTCCTCTCGCTTCTCTCCTCTCTTCCCTCCTCCCTCTCTCCTCTCCTCTTCTCCTTTCTCTCCCTTCTTCCTCTCTTCCCTCTCCTCCCCTCTCTTTTCCTCTCCGCTTCTCTCCTCATCCCTTTCCTCCTCTCTCCCCTCTCTCTCTCCATTATCCACGGGATGCCTCCACACTGCCCAGAATGGAGGCAATGAATGGGCCGCTCATGGAACCGCTGGCTTTGGCTGTGATTCGAAACAGACACGTGGACCGTCCTTTGATGAATCGAAGCTCCGAATCTGTCTTCGCCGGAGAGAGAGTGAGAGAGAGGGAGGGAGGAGAGAGAGGGGGAGGGGAGAGAGAGAGAGAGAGAGAGAGAGAGGAGAGAGAGAGAGAGAGAGAGAGAGAGAGAGAGAGAGAGAGAGAGAGAGAGAGAGAGAGAGAGAGAGGAGGGAGGGAGGGAGGGAGGAGAGGGGAGAGGGAGAGAGAGAGGAGAGGAGAGAGAGAGAGAGTGAGTGAGAGAGAGACGAGAGAGTGAGAGAGAGAGAGAGAGAGAGAGAGGAGAGAGAGAGAGAGAGAGAGAGAGAGAGAGAGAGAGAGAGAGAGAGAGAAGAGAGAAGAAAGAAAGAAGAGATAGAGAAGTGTGTGGTATTATACGGGCGATCGAACGGGATTCGAAGCAGGTTTGACAGAGTTTCGACCGTGGCTGTACAACTCGCATACACACATGCATTTCTGTTGTGTGTGTTTGTATGCGTACATATTGATTGACTGATTCGTTTACACGCGTGAATAGATACTAATTGATGGATTTACATACATTAATAGATACTAACTGATTGGCTGATTGGTCGATTGATTGCTTGACTGATTAATCTATATATGTATTTGTTACGAAGAAGAACTGAACGTACGATATTTGAGAATAATACAATGAACTATAATAAAAAAAAACAAATAAACTTTACGTCATTTCATTAATTTGATTTAAACTTTTGATAATTAAGGTTTTTATTTCACAGAGCGCATGTGAATCGACTTTAATGTAGTTTATCAGTTAATTATATTCTTTTTATCTAGATATATCATTCAATCCTGTTTATACTATTGCTGTTAATAAATACAATAAACGAATACGAATACGATACACTTCTTAAAACCCCATTTCCACATTTCTGGACCGTTTCAGATATCTATTTCATCTCCTTTTCACTTTAGAATATAGTTAACTTCACCCGAAATTTTTAAGTCCGTTTCCCGCGCATTCTCCTTCTCGGGTCGATAGCCAATGAGAAATACAGACACTCTGAAGATGTTTTTTGATTGGCTGAATGGGAGGCGTCGATACAGGGTTTAAAGAAACGGGAAGTGAGGTGATTCGCCCCTTCCCTCCCCCTCCTCCCCCTCCCCCTCCCCTCTTCCCCTTTTTACCCGCCTTCTCCTTATCGATTTCTGTGATTCTACTCTTTGCGTTTTCGCCTTTTTAAAAGATTCTATGTTGTATTTTTTTTCGATTTTGTTTTTCTTTTTTTCACTTGCTATAAATAGAGAGAGGAGAGAAGAAAAGGAGGTGAAGGGAATCTCCGTCGCCGCCCCTCCCTCTTTTCTCCTTCATCCCTCCCTTCCTCCTCGCCCTTATTTCCCTCTCAATCCTTCAATCCTTCTTCCCTTTCCCGTCTCCTTCTAACCCCCTACTCCTTCCCCTCTTCCCCTCCGTCCCTTCCCCTTTCCCTCTCCTCTCCCTTTCCGTCCCCTCCCCTTTTCCCCCTTCCCCCCCTCTCCTCTTCCTCCCTTCCCCACCCTCTACTCCCCCCTCACCCCTCTGTCCCTCCCATTCCCCCCTCACCCCCTCTCCCTGCCTCAAGTGTATCTCTTCTCCCTACCCCCTCCTCAACCCCCTCCCCGCCCTCAAGTGTATCGACGCGAGACATGTGGTGTTGCGGTGGTTTCCGATTAGCCTCCAAAGGGGATCCAATTCCTTCCCTTTCTTCCCTACTTGGGGCTTGATCACCTTGTTTGCGGATGCTTTTGTTTTCTGCTCGTGAACGGTCGTTCGGTTTGAGGGATTGTTTGCCGGGCTGATTCTTCTTTGTTTGTTCGCTTGTTTGGTTTGGTTGGTTGTCTTTGAGCTTTTGTTTGCGTTTGTCTGTCTCTGTTGGTGGTGATTTGTCTGTTGGTGTGACTAATTATCTCTTTTCTCTCTGCTTCATCCTATCTTCCTTCTTCGACTCTCTTCTCCCCTTTCTACTCTTCATTCCCCTTCCCTTTCTCCCCCCTCTCCCGTCTTCTCTATCCTCTCCCACTCTCTCCTCTCCCCTTTCTATTCTTCCAACTCCTCTCTCTCTCACCTCTCCCATTTCCCCCACTCTCCCTCTCTCCCATTCTCCCTCTCCCTCCATTCCCCCTCTCTCCTCTCCCCCTTCTCCCTCTCCCACGTCTGGTCTCCTGTTTTCTTAAGACGCTCTCACGGCCCATGTTGACACTGTCCCCTCTTGCCGCAACTTCTAGATCCAATCTGAGCCTGAGGATAGTGAGGAAGAGGGGAGGGGGGGGAGGAAGAGCGAGAGATGAGGACTAAAGGAGGGGAGCAGGAGATAAGGATGAATGAGAAAGATAGAGGGTGAGAAGAGAAAGGGAGGATGAGAGAGAGAGAGAGGGTGAGAGAGAGAGAAGAGGGTGAGAGAGAGAGAGAGAGAGAGAGAGAGAGAGAGAGAGAGAGAGGAGAGAGAGAGAGAGAGAGAGAGAGGAGAGAGAGAGAGAGAGAGAGAGAGAGAGAGAGAGAGAGAGGAGAGAGGAAGGATGTGAGATAGAGGAGGGAGATAGATAGACAGATAAATAGACAAATAGAGAGGAGACAGAGGAAGAGAGGCTGCTGGAATGGGCGTGGGAGGAGCGCGTGTGGGCGTCGAGAGCGTGTGGGAGTGGGGGTGAGTGAGTGAGGGGGGGGGGAGTTAGATCAATTTGCCAATATCATCAGCTGGTGTAATTTTCCTCTTTTTTTCCTCCCCCACTCTCTCTTTCCTCTCTCCTCTTTAATTCCTTTTGACGCCTCTTTTTCTCTCTCTTTAATTTCATGTTTTATTTTTTTTTCTATTACACTTAATGACATAGATATCATTTCACTCTTTCGTTTTTCTTTTCTTTTTATTTTTTCACCTTCGCGCTTCTGTTTTCACTTCTCTTTTATCTCTAATTCGTTAGCCAGTTCTTTAAAGACCGATTTCATCACAATTTCGCTTATTCCATATTCATAGTGGAGTTACAAACAAACAAACCATTTCCCCTTATCTCTCTTTCTCTCTTTTTCCGTCCCTTTCATCACTTTTTGGATTCTCTCTACTCCATAGAAAACCTCGCTCACGGAAACAGCAAAAAAGAAGAAAGAAAGGAAGAAGAAGAAAAAGAAAAAGAAAAAGAAAACGCACGAGAGAGAGAGAGAGAGAGAGAGAGAGAGATGGCAAGAGTGACCTTTTGACCCCAAGATGGATCGAGTAATAACGGCCTTATCTCCAGAAGAGGTGGGAGAGGTGGAGGAAGGTGGAGGAAAAGGTGGTGGAGAGAATGATGGAGAGGGCGATGGAGAGGGCGAAGGAGAGGGAAGAGGAAAGAGTTTGAGGCCAGAGGAGTGAGATAATCGTTGGTCCCCACTTTACGAAGATAACGACAACACTGAAAGAGAGAGAGAGAAAGAGAGAGAAAAAACGAAAGAAAAAATGACTGGACACTTTGTATGTTTCTTTTTTCCTTTTTTTTTCTTAATTTCTTTCTCTTCCTAAACTCTTTCTTTCTCTTCCCCTCTCCCTCTCCACACACCTCGTCCCTTAAAAAATGAATCTATCAACTCTTCTTCTCTCCGAAATAACGAACTTTGCTCTAAAAAAGACCTTACGCAAATCCGAGCAAACGGAGCCAGCGATTCCCCCCGAGAGCCAGACCTCTCTCTCCACACACACGAGAAAAAACGGGCTAACAACTAGGCGACTGGGCGTGGGTGACTCACGGCGGTCGTGAGGTCGCCCCACTCGACTCATGACTCACCTCACTCGTCCACCTGATATGCACGTAATCACACTGAGAAATGGAAGACATGGTTTACGCTTGTATCACTGGTGCCGTTCTGCTTCGCCTCGGACAGCCCTGCGAACTTGCAAGGGGGCGGGCGGCGCTGTGCGGCTTGCGCGGGCGTTGGGTGGGTGTGTGGGTGTAGGTGTTGTGTGTGTGTACGTGTATGTGTGTAATGTGTGTGTGTTGTGCGTGTCGCGTGTGTGTGTAGGTTTATCGGGTATTGACTTGTGAAGTACTTTTTTGCATAAGTGTATACGTCTCTTTATGTGAGTCAATACATGAATGTATTTCTGCCTGAGGCATCGTTGCTGCCTTCGGTTATTACGAAACAAAGCGCGAGGACCTAGAGCTGTGGTTGTCATCCATGGCTGTCACTTTACTGAGTGGGCGACGCGCGCTCAGCCCCGGAAAGTCCCCTTGCAAATTCACCGCTTTAAATGTCACTGTCCTGAACTCCTGGTGTCCTACACTTGCAGCAATAACTGGCACAGCTGTACACTACCCTGGTATCTCTTGGCAGAGACGTGTACTTCTACACTCGCTTTCCAGGTTTTATTCTGGCCTACTTTAATACTTTTTTGGTACATTTGTTGCCTAAATTTATATTTCTGCGAACTACTCTTGCATCTTTGACACAATTACTCAATGTTCGTTTATGAACACAACTGTCCAACACTTTTATAAGTAACACACTTGAACTAAACTTAATCACTGTTACTGGAAGACTTGGTTGCCTTGGAGGTAACCTCTGAGGAGTTGGGAGCACCTCCCTGGAAGACACGTTGAGCCTGGCGTCGCCCGCCAGGTGATTATTGTAAGACTATCCTCGTCGAGACTGCTGGCGTCCGCGGAGCCTCTGCTGAGCCTCTGCCGCCTGCTTGTGCTTTCG